GCTCCCTCCACGACTCCTCGCATCCTGCTCCAGGCCCTGGCTCCTGCTCCTGGGGCGTGGGACACCCTGGCAGCCTGGGGGACAGGCAGTGGCCGCGGGGACTGCAGCATTTGTTATTTTTTAAAGACATGGTTGTATTTATTTCATTGTTTTTTATAATGCGAGTCACTGGTAGTGCAGCTGTGCAGAATCAGCATGTATATAGCAGGTCCCAGCCCACACACGGTGTACCAGTAACGGTCGCTTCTCACCTGTACGATATCTGCATATAGCTATATTTTTAATTCTAGTGCTGAAAGCCACTGTTCCCAACCCAACATTAGGGGGTTTGGTCCTGGTTTGGTTTGGATTTTTTTAAATATTTTTAGCCCTCTGCTCGCCCCCGCCTGCTCGCTCAGCGGCGGTGTGCTCGGTTGGAAGCACTTTACGGACCAGAGGAGGTCTGGGATGGTGTCCGAGGAGGGGGTGACAGTGGTGGAGGGATGCAGGAGGCGGGCAGAGCTGGAGCACGCAGAGCAGTGGTTCACAGAGTGCAGGAGTCCCTTTTGTCCTCTTTGTGTTCACGCAATGCAGGGAGGATCACCCTCCCCTTCTCTCTCCCGCCCGCTACAGCCCCCCTGCCCCACGGAGAGGGGGCTCTGCAGGCTCCCCTCCTCCCCTCCCCAGGGCAAAGAGGTGATCAGATCATACTATACTGCCCCCAAGCTGGGCAGGACAGTGCTTGGTTTTCATCACCGACATTCACCCCTTAAAAGGCAACGTTACCCCATGAGCAAAAGCCAGCGCTGCCCGCGGGGCTATTCAGGGGGGATGGGGGCTAAGGGACTGGAGCGCGGCAGGTCTGCAGGGACCACCACGCATCGAGGTTGTTACCGGAATCCTGCGGTTAAACGTTTCTTTGACAAAGCAGCAGGGGAGCCAGAAACATGCGATGTAGGAGAGGCAAGCCAGCCCTAGCACTGGGCGCTGCCACAACAGCCCGTGCCACTGTCCCACTTCGCTACGCGTGTGCTTGCCAGTAGCATCCAGCTCCCTGCCTTGCTGCAAACCAGCGAGCACCCCGCGGCTCCGCTCCGGCGCGAGAGGGCCGTGTTATGCAATTGCAGAGCACACACCGGCCTCCGCCCCCTCGTGCCTGCCCCCGGAACCCCCAGGATCCCAGCGACTCTGTTGTGGACCACTGCCTTAAAACGTGCTGCAGAAAGATTCGGACTGTGGCCAAATTCAGGCATGCTGCACCCAGGTAGCACACGCGCCGACCCGCCCCGAGGCGTAGGTGCCTCTAGCGGTGCTGAATTTGTGCCGCGGACTGCAAAGAAGGGTGAAAAAATTCTACAGAGTAAGTGGAAGATTTTAAGTGGTGCTGAGCACCTCCTAATCCCACCACAATCCATGGAGAAAGGGTTGGTGCGTCAGCCCGTGCTTGAGGAGAAAGTACAGGAGGGGAAACTAGGAACTGCAGGAGGTTGGTTATCCTGAGCCACAGCGCAGCCAGATCCCTTCGCTGCCGAGAGCTCCCTCGCTGGGGCCCGGGCATGCAGAACCCTGCCCTGCAGGAGGGGGGACGGGGACCACAACCAGAGGCTGTCGCCGTAGACTCCAGTACTCTGTAACCTATCGTCTATGTAAGAACAATGAATGTTAACACGGTAAATTATTATTATTATTACATTAAAAAAAGACCACAAAAAAACGCTCTGCATCTGCAACCTGGTCATTGCTAAGAGGGGAACTAGTGGGTGAGGGACGCGGCAGGGGACCGGAGCGCCGAGGGGAATGGTTTGTGACACACGTGGAGCTGTGGGGAGTGCCAGCCCCAGAGAAGGAGCAAGGAAGTTACGCTCTAACGCTCGTTGGAAAGGAAGACAGCAAGGCTGCGAACTAAGAAATAAGGAGCAGCACCAAATCACTGCATAATATACACACTTTATTTCTGAATTTGTATGTATACAGACTTTCTATACACACATTACCTATATAATAAAAATGTACATGTGTATACATGATCGTATAAATATAGAACTGTAGAAATCTTAGAACTGATCCTGTCTATTCACAGCAACTCCTCCCGGGGGACCGCTTTGTTCGAGTAGCCATCATTTGAGACTTGGGCAAAAGGGGCAAGTGTCGTTTGTGTTGGTTTGTGCCCAAAATTTGATGCACTGGAAGAGAGAGATTAGTCAAGAGCCACTGGCACAACTCAAAGGCGACAGGATGGAGAGAGGCTGTTTATTGATTGTACCTGTCTCCTGGCACGATCTCGGTGCAACAGGGACTCGCTACACATGCCCAGGACCCCCAGAGGGGAACCAGCACAAGGAAGCATCACGAGGAACCCAAGAGCAGCACACAACGGGGAAGCACACTCACCTCCTTGTGCAGCACGTGCGAGCAGGCCATGGGGTGAAGGTCACCAGGCTGCACCAGCTTCTGGCACATGAGACACAGCTTACAGGCAGCCGGGGTCTGGGACCAGCAGCGAGGGAACAGAAAGGAGACGAAGTCAGACACCCCAGCTGCAGCCAGCAGCACACTTTGCCCAGTTCCTCCCTCTGCCTGCAGCCGTCACATGACAGTAGAGCCTCTGACACTTCTCTTGCACCCGTTCCCCTCTCCCCTGATGTGGGCCACGATGGACCCGTGGGTCTAACCCTTCCCTTCCACCTCACCAGCCCAAGTAGCTGCACGAGAGAGGCCCCAGCTTCACTGGCTCATCCTTTCAGCCACCTCTCAAAGGGCTCCCTCCCTCCGCTTCCCCTGGGGATGGTGAAGCGCTCCAAGAAAGCCAAAAAGTCTTACGTGTGATGCTGTTCCAGGGTACGCCACCTGGGCTGGGGGCAGGAACATGGGTGTGCTGATCTGAGGCAGCGGGGCAGAGAACATGGGGGCCCTGATTCGACCGAGAGGCTGCAGGAAGGCAGACAAGGCACATCAGACGAGCCCAGAAGGAAAGGACAGCCGGGTCACCTCAGGGAAAACAGCTCCCCAGGGTTACACTGCAGTCAGCAGAAAGGGGAACCCAGGGGACATACGTGACACACAGCCCCTGCACTGCTCGGTCTGCAGGGAACCAGCGAGCAGGCGCGGCTTCTCACTGCCACCCAGCTGCCCTTCCCAGCAGCCCCCCACGAGGAGTCTGGCCAGCCCCCCGCTGCTCTCCCACCTGAGCCCCAGCTGCTGCTCGCTCCTTGGGCTGCCACCAGCTGGGTCAGCTCCTCCATGGTCAGCCCCGCCATGGTCCTCCGAGCAGTCTTGATCTGCTGCAGGATGTTGGTGAGCTGGGCCCTGCAGGGACAGCAGCCTGCTGAGAGCTCCCCGCCACCGCCAGCGAGCCGAGCGGCCCCCACGAGCAGGGACCCTCCCTCAAAGGCCCTGCAACACTGCCCCAGGCAAGACACTTACTTGTTGCACTGTGGAAACCGAGTCAACAACTTCTCCAGCAGCTTTTCCAGCTTATCGGCGGGGGGCGGCCCGTGGGACTCTGTAACTCCCCCCAGGCCTGGTGGAGGAGGGATGGAGGAGGCAGGAGCCACGTGAGGGCTGTGTGTGCCAATAAGCGATGCCACTACTGGGCTGTTTCTTCCTTGGGAAGCAGGCAGCGGTGGGGAAGGCTGGTTGGGCCTGGAGATTGCAGGGTTCAGGAGGGGAAAGGAGAGCGCCCGAGGATCAGCGCTTGGCATGACCATGGGAACGGGAACTGGTCCAATGGGAAATGGGAGCCTGGGAGTAAGGGATGGGTTGGGCTGGAATGCCGTCAGCATGAAATCTGTCTGAGAAAGAAAAGCAGGGGAAGAAGAAAAGGCTGGTTAGAATAAGTCCATCTGAAAGCAGAGCCAAGTGCCTTCCTCCCCAGCCAGCCAGGAGGTGGGCTGAACAGCAGGCA